ATTGGCTGCTGTATTTTGTGTATTTTTAGAAACTCCTTATGCAATCCAGACACAGACAGAGCAACTTTTGGTCAGGGTGGGAGAGTCTGGGAAGCATGGAGGGCTTAACAAAGAGAAAAGTAAGAGATAAAAAGATTAAGAGAGAGTAAAGACCTGTACAGAGTAAGCAGAAAGGGGAGGGTAGAGGAACAGCCATGAGTGACTAAAACAACCACTTCCCACAGTGTTTGGTTTCATAATCATCTAAACTGAATATCCACCTTATTAGCATTCATTCTCATATCAATCTAAATGCATATACAAATTAGTCTTTAGTAGATGCACAAAAACAGACAGCTTGAGGACACAAAAGCTGAGGTGCTCCTTGATCTGAGACAGAATAAGTTTACATTATATTCCCCATTCACTGGTTTGCTAATTAAATTCAAGCATTGTGGTCCTTAGTGGTCAAGAGCTGCTGCTTTTCTGTTTAGTAGTCTGAGCTCAGTGAGGGCCTGCAGCTGCATGCATGATTCATTAGCAGTGGAAGCACCACAGAGAGCTGCACCAACTACTATACCCTCAACTTTCTTGACCACATGCTCTCAAAGTTGCTTGATATCTAAAATATCCAACACTAAATATCCACTTGTAGCCTACAGATTTGTAGTAGTGCTGCTTAGATCCAGTAAGTGGCAGTCAATGTATTTAACTGATGGGGCTGTCACAGATAAGGAAGGATCTGTTCTCCGCTTCTCTCTTGTGATTTTTAGCCTCCCCTCTCTCCAATTTCATTCCAGCCCTGCAAGACCAAGACCTGACCTCCACTTTGACCCACGGCACAAAGCACCACAGCTCTCTGTTGATGTTCATAGCATGTAAAACAACCTAACAAATGGCTGTGGTTTAATATTTTTCTTTTACGTAAAACAAGATTAAAGATGGCATGAAATGAAAAAATTATTTTCTAAATGCTTTTTTTGAATGATTCATCTATGCATATGTTTAATTTCTGCTTTAATTTTTTTGAGTTTGTAATTTCTAACCCTTGTCAAGGTTCGACAATAAGGACTCCCCGATGGCCTGGGACCAGTGTGAAAGACGCTCGGGACAGTTGAAGGATTTGTCACTGATCAGCCACTGCTGCATCATCACAAAAGTTTATCATTTGCATGTGTTTTCAAGCCTTGCTAATTTAATAATAATAATAATTAATAATTTAATAATAATAATAATAATTTATGCATTTAGCAGACTCTTTTATCCAAAGCGACTTACAGTGCATTTAAAAATTCAAGCAACTTCAAAGCATTCAAGCAAGATGCGAAAGACAATTACATTCAGTACTCGCATGCTGTGATCTGTGTACACAGAGAGCCGTGTCTTGCGGTTAAACGGACAAATATAGTGGTCGACCGATATATCGCCATGGCCGATATATTGGCCAATATTTGGCATTTTTCAAATATCGGCATCGGCCGATAAGTTTTTCTGCTTGGCCGATGTGTTCGAGGCGGGACTTTTATTTTGACGGCGCTGAGAACGGCAGCGCCAGAGCACACAGTGCTCACATTCTCCCTCTTGTTCGCTGTTGTAGTTAACAGTTCTGCCTAATAATAATTAGTCTGTCTAATAATCTGATAGAATTGTTGAACAAATTAATTAAAACGTATACAAAAAGTATTATAAAGATTGCTTTTATATTATTAGTAACAGAAAGGCAAACATTATAATACTTTCTCGTTTGCCGTCAGCATTCAGCAAATACGCATTTATATCATTTAAACAAACTTTTAAATGACTAATGAACACTTAATTTCACAAACCTTGCAGACTTAGTCGA